GTGGACCATTTTAGCACCGTTTTTGCACCAAAACTGATAACCTTGTTTTTCGATTTGCGACGTCGGAATGTCCTCGATATCTAAACCTCACCATTGTGCGGAAAGGGCTAGCCTAGCACTGCTATCTGCGTATCAAGAATATCTGATGACATTTAAATTGATGACGTCACAAGTAGTACAAAGAGCACGACCATTAATTACGCATATATGCGTAGTTGGTATTCAAAGGGTTAAATTCTTTGGCAATGCCTGTCAAGTGACAATTCCTGTCGAGCACTCCAGTTTTGTAGCGCCCCATATGGCCACTGTCGTATATCATGCACCTTTTCCCTAATAAATCCCTCCCCTAAGCTTAATGCTCGTTGCGTAATCCTTCCTCCTCTCAAATGAGGAAAGATTGCTTGTCGAGCTCAAAGGGTGTCTGCAAAGGACATGCGCTCTAAAAGGTTAACTAACGTGACTTTTGTGTTGGATGCTAGTCTGATTACGACATGGTGGATTACTTGAATGAGCTCAGAGAAGGATGTTTAGAAGCCTACACTGGAATTATTCAAGGACTCAAGGGCGAGGCTAAAGAAGGAACCCCTAGTAGTAAGTGCAGTCACACTAGATTCCTCAGTGTTTTTGGTTCGCGTTTCCTCTTCTTAGGTCTTTGTAGCATGAGAACAGAACAAATAAAATTATACTATCAACCGACCGATTTCACCGCAGTCTACTTGTATAGCTTACTTCATATATTCATCATCTCAGATTTATCTCATCCCTTGTAACTGATGAACTCTGGGGGGGGCAGGGAAAGCGCAGTGGTGAGAGCGCTCGCCTCCCACCAATGTGGCCCGGGTTCGAATCCTGGACATGGCGTCATAAGTGGGTTGAGTTTGTTGTTGGTTCTCGCCTTGCTCCGAGGGTTTTTCTCCGGTTTTCCTCACTCCACAGAAACCAGCACTTCTAAACTTCAATTCGATCTGAAAACAGTGGACGAAGAGCCTGTCCGTGGGATGTGCCCCTGAAAATTCCTATTGATTGATTGATTGAGTTATTGAATGGTTTCACAGTTCAATGGCAGTGTCTGTACCAGAATCACAGAGGTCATATAACTCGAATCTCTGAATTGTTTTTGTGGCTCTCTTTTTAACTGTTTTAGTGGAAATATAAAGTGCTGAGATCTGTTTCTTCCGTTCAGTTCATATGGCACTGTTTGTTTTGTTCATATGGTAGTATTTTTGTAATCCTTTCTTATGTTGTTTTAACAGAGGAGCTGGTTCTGGTTCAGCCACACATAATGCATATCATCACCTTTATAGAAGTCATTGCTACAGACCAGGACCATTCAGAGAGTAATGTCTCCAGTGCTTGCGGTCTTGTAGGGTAAGACACTGCCTTAATTATTTATTCAGTGTTTACTGCATCATAGTGCCCACTACAGTGTTAATGATACTGGCCAGTTAAATGCTTGGGATGACTTTGGGTTGCGGCAGTATCATCCAGGGGAGTGGAAATTTTCCTGTTCTGAAAGTGGAGATAAGCGCCAGCCTGATTTCACATTCGTCCAGTTCCTTCTCGGCCCTTCCAGCCGCGGTAAGACCCGGGGGGGGGGGGNCCTATTTATGACCTGACCCTTAAATCAAAACCCTGTTTCAGACCTACGTTATAATTATTTCAGGCCAATGTCAAATTACCGTAAACATAATTCGTGAAGGGCTTTTGTTGATTTTATTTTCGATAATGATGAAAAAGTGGCATCTTCTTAAAAACATACCCATATCAAGGCTAGAGTGCAAAAACCATACCCTATTTATGACCAAAATGGCCAATATCAGCTAAAATCGATGCCCTATTTATGACCAAAACGGCTGAAAAACCATACCCTTTGGGGCCGCACATACCTATATAGCCCATATAATGGAGTACCCCCTCCCCCTCCGGTGGGGTAAGATCCCGAAACCTGTTGGCAGGCTACTCGAATGCAGGCCTAGATTGCATTCCCTTTGCCTTCTGCAACGTTCAGCTGCGAGGCAATTTGAGAACGCGAGGTTTTTGACATTTTTAAGGTAGTTGTCTGATTGTTTTAAAACAAGGACTAAGGTAGCCTGAGAAATGCACAAGTCGACGAGAAGGTGTTTAAATTGAACACGTTACCTGTGAATTGTGAACCCCTGGTAGGGACGTTAGGTAGTTTTGGTATCAGTGTTGCATTGGGAAGATCGAAAATCACTGTTACTTACATGGTCTTGTTAAATTGCAGTGATATTTGTTCAGCATTTGGCGCGCAGGTTCACCCACTGCTAGAGAAACCAGCCATCAACGAACTGCTCCAAGAAGGAAGGCGATCTAAGACACACAAAACCAAACAAGTCGCCACCTGGGCAACCAAGGAAATGCGCAAGCTCAAGCAACAACAGGTTTGTAAGAAGCGGGGGCCAACGGGTTCATTGTTATAACAGGGTTCTAATACAGGGCCTGAATAGACTCGAACTGCTGATCGATGGCGATTACTAGGTGTCTCCGACTTCGGACTCCGAACAAGAGTATCGAAACGACCAGATACCAAACAGTTGAAGGACATTCTATCCGCTTTAAATAGGTGTTTAGTAGCTTTGTAAGATTAGAAGTTTACTTGCTTAGTTTCCCCTTATAACGAAGTGACTATTCTTTGGAACGAGGTGACTCTGATGGAACGAAGTGACCAACGTTGGAACAAAGCGACTTGGAACGCAGTGACCGGATACCGACCCCAAACTTGCCAATCATACATTTTCACGACTTAGTAACGGATTCATATAAGACTTCGCTTATTTACTGAATTCGACATGATAAATAGAACGGTGACGCTTATTTTTTTTTTTTTTTTTAGTTTAAATTAAAGAAACGGAAATGCGTGACATCGGAGGTCCATTGGCAGTAGACCTAACGCATTGCAGACCTATGTATGTGAAGTGTTTGTAACCAATCAGTTCTCCCCTTTTCTTGCAGAATTAGTCACGTGATGGCGACCACAGAGAGAGCGTGCGAGAGTGCGTGAGAATCGAGCTTCCGTGATGTCGAGAGCGTGCGTACCTGACATGCGTGGAGAGCGAGTGCGTTACCCCTCCCCCCCAAACAGAGAGAAGCACCCGGACAATGACCAATGACAGCCAACTTCCAAATCACTTGACAGCGGTTGACGAGCGAAAAGCGTGCAAGGTTATGGTTGTAAAGGTGATACAGTTTGATGCCCGCGTGGATCCCGTCGTGCCCCGCATGGATCCCGTCTTCGCCCACGTGAATCCCTTTTCTCCTTTCCATGGAAGTGTAAAGGAAACCCAACACACTTGGTTCCGTGAAAGGAAAGGTTTCAGCCGTAGCGAAAATAAGTGTGCTGCGACTTGACTGAAATAACTTTACCCTTTCACGAAGCCAGGCTATTTTGACGCGGCGTGGACAAATTCCGCCTCGAAGTAAAAAAATATATAGATGCCCCTCTTCTTCCCCCAAGAAAAGACGATATTCCCCGCCCTCAACCATTAGTAGTGAAGTTCTAGATTACGGTGGAATTAATTTTTTTTGCGCTGCAATGAAAGTGTTCTGCAGGATGTTAGATTTAAAGAACGTATTTTTGTGAAGAACGGGGGAAATTTTGACGATTTACGGGACAAAATTATTGTACAGTGAATATTGTGTAAGATTGTAGAGACTATCATGCAACGGAATTGACTTAAAATGAGCCCTACAAAGTGGAACAATCTAAAAAAAGTCAGTATATTCCGTATAGCTATAATTAAAAGCAGTTTTCGATACCTCTGCTGTAAATTTGTTGTGTCTTTGGTTACTCCTGGTCCGAAAGCTTCGCTTTATAGAAGCCATTGGATGGATATAACCTAACTACCTTGCTACGAAAATACGCCTTCGCAAAAAGATGATTCCTTCACCCCGGCGCCCCCTCCCCCGAATCTGAGATCTAAAAATCTTTCTATATTATTAACGCCCGGAGAGTTTCACGTACGCCTATAAGCCTGAGCAACGGTTGCTTTGACTTCCGTAAGGGAATAAGCACGGCCGGCAGCATGAAATGAAATTGCTTGAAATGAAGTCTAGAGGCTTCTCCGCGAGACCACGCTTGCCTGATATCCTTCCAAAGAACAAAGAATACTGAAGCGAGTGATTATAACAGAATCAAGTCCAAAAGGTACACGAGGACGAAATGGGTATGAAGGAGTTCTCCCGTGCAATGGTTATTTGACGATCGCCTGTTTCTTAAACAACACTCGACTCATCGGACATTGCTGAAGCGTGTAAGGGAAATGGGATATTTCCTGGACGAATTAAATGCGTATTCATCTGATTGCCGGTTACCCCACGGCATTTTGTTTTCCGGTTTGAGAGTTTCTTTGAGTGACTTGCCTAGCACCAGAACCACAACACAGACTTTGGCTCGAGGACTCAAATGGGGATGTCTCATGCGCCGTCTACACTACGCCCGAGAAATTTGAAAACGACGTTTTGTACTCGAGGAAAACTCTGGCAGTGAAATCACGTGATTATCGTGACGTCATCGTTCTCGGAAAAGCTCTGTTTTTCAAATGTTTCCCGTCCTCACGTCCGTCCGCAAAGCCAGCGTTTTCAAATTCCCCCGGTTTGCAACGCGTATTTTCGAAAAGCTCCATTTTCGTGGCAGACTTGAGTGGGTGTTAGGCTGACCATAGAAATATTAAATTTGCGTTTTAAAATTCCTCTGGCGTAGTATGGGAGGGGCCTCAATTCAAAATCAGTGTCATTGTGAACACGCACGCGCCACCCATTAAACTTTGAACTCTAGTTTTCAAATTTACTTGTACCCTTTTCTATTCAAACCGGAGAAGTTGTTTTGAAATCTTTTGTTCATTAATTCACAGGTGTACTATTGTCTCGAAATTTGCCTTTTAGCCATATGGGAAAAACGCAATCGCCAAGGCGCTAAAGCGTCCTAAAAGGATCTAAAAGCAGGTAAACACGCCAACACGTGCAACAAAACTTGTTAGCTTCAGAGCGTGCAACGTTTCTTCTGACCTACAAATGTGTCGAAATGTTAGAGAGTTTAAAAGTTACCGAATAATGTTTTTTACTCTCACTGTCAGCCTGCAGGACAAATACCTTTACAGTCGACATTACACGAGGTATTTTTCGGCCAGAAGTTGCACTAAGAGCATCGTATGATTGTTTTAGTCTGCTCTTTGCTGCTATCAACATAGTAGGGCTCATTAATTCAACGAGTCTAGCTAGTTCTCAAATCATTTCTACAAAAACAGACGAAAAATAATTTCTCCTCCACTTTTGTTTGTATACTTGAACTAACTTAAAAAAAAGTTTAACTGTCGAGCTACTGAAAAGGGTCCGACAGAGGTTTATTGGCGGGATGAGGGGCGAGGGCAAAAACCGAGGCGGGATACGGGATTACAGAAATTTTAATGGCGGGATACGGGATTAAAATACTTCTGCGGGAGCGGGATTTGTCTATTTTGACAGGCGGGAAGTAGGATAGTTTTGAAACTTACGTCAAACCCATTATTCCGGAAAAATTTGCGTAATAAACGGTTATAAACCAAAACTGAACAAGGGTTGTTATTTTTAATAATCTGCGAAGGGCAGACGGATATTACGCACTACGAACATTCAATCAACTAGGCTAAATTTCAACACGTGCCACATCCGATAGGTCATTATTGGAAATTGAAAAATGTACCAGTTATCTACTTGTCCTTCACCAGTGTTCGCTGATGTAGTCTAGTGTATCTAATGCAGCCAATAAAACAGCCATTTTCAGCGAATTCACTCTGAAGCAGTTCTTGTTTTAGCCGTGTCGTGCGCGCGCCAGACACGTTGTTTTATGGGGTGTAAATAACAGACACAAACTGAAAACACCAGGTTGTTTTTCAGGGTTGCGAACAGTGTCTAATTGAAACGAAGCTCTCTGTTTTGTCTTCTTCCTTTTGTTTTCTATCCTTTCTGTCGCGTTTTAGACAATGAACGTCGCACAGGTACCAGGTTAGGAACAAGCTTAATAATTCATGGCCTTGAAGCATGCAAGTTTACGACTCTACGTTGATAAAGTGAAGCGACTTCCGCATTGCATTTTGCAGGCAGCTCGTTATCACAAGTAACAGCTGTAATATTGTTACTGGACTTCTAAAATTAATTTTGGTTGCCGTTTAAACATTACACATGTCATACAAAGGGGGAAGGGAGAGTAGGGGCACCTGTACAAGGCTTTTGTCATGATTTTGTATCGCGTTCAAATTCTAATAACCGCAACCAAGTCGCCAAGGTCTTCGTTAAATATTAAACCACTTTTTGTCTAACCGAGGCTATCCTATATGGCTGAGTTAATATCCATAATTACCCATGCAAAATTTGTCTTTTCACGCGGTTTCTTTGCTGAGGACGGCTGCCAAAAAACCGCGGCCGTTAAATAAACAACGCGTGTTGAAGCGAGTTCTGTACCTGAAAAAAAAAAAAAAAAAAAATCAAAAGAAACTTAAGATATCTTGAACTAATCTTATAAAAATCAGTAAATGAATGAATAAAAATCTAAAATTGATTTTAAAAAAGGTCTGTGCGTATTCTTTTATCAGGTCATTTGCTATTGAATTTCGCCGTAGTAATAGTAGTAAATTTCTGCAAAATTTTTCTATTATATATCAATGTCATTTTCTGCGGAGGGTTGTCTGAGAAGTGATCAGTTTTCCGTGAGCAAGGTTTGTTGTAAAACTGTAAGCTTCCGGATTAATTCTCAACCACGAACAATGTATTTCTATTGAGCATTCTGATTGGTTCACTGAATCTCGGTTATCAGCTATTATACCTGTGTTTGATTTAAATTTTCAGCGTAAAATTAAGCTTAGCACCTCAGTATTACAAGCTAACGATTACTTTGTTTTGGGGTTTTCTCATATTCGACTTGCACAGCTCTACGATTTTCATCAACGCTATTGCTTCGTACTTCGTATGTTCTCGTGTTTAAGTCTTATTCTCGTGTGTCACAATTTCTCAGAAAACTGAGATATTTTGAGATTTTGCAAGTAATATTTAGGATGATTTATGTCTTACTTGCTCTGCTATAAAGATTTGTCACTCGAGGAGAACTGCGAGGTTCGAGGAACAAATCAATGCCCGACTGAAGAGAAATCATGATTTGTGTATATTTTCGTGTCAAATGGGCCGGGGTTATTATGTTTACTATCCTGCAAATACTTTTTTTCAAAAGGTCAGTCTTTTGGAATACCTTTTCTACAATAACAAAATAATATTTATTATTTTTTTTTATTTATGATTCCAGGGCAGGAAAACATAAACAATATTTTTGATTGTCCTTCTGAGCCTTAAACAACCTGTCTTTTTTTTGTGTCTGTGATTTATCCGTCTACGCCTTGTGCCTGGCTTGTTATTTATCGTGGCCTGTTCAACGTGAGCTCGTGGAAAAATTATTCCCCAGTCTTGGCTTCTTCGTGTTGTGCGTGGCTTTAGTTTTGACTAGACCTAACGCGCGCGCGAGAGAGAAATCATTTGATGGATCTTATACACTTGTTGTTCAGCGATAAAATCTGAACAGAACGCCAATACATGATAACACTCCTCCTCGAATGCTTGCACGTACTCCATAATATTACATTACTCAGTACTATTTCCGAATTAGAATTTTCCGTCTGTTCCGCCTTGACCGATACACTTACTGTAACACGTTTTCAGCCAATCACTGCTCTTGACTTATTGCTCGGTAAACGACTTTGTCCAATATCGGAAGAACGAACAACAGATGCTCTCGACTTAGTAGCTGTAATATAGAAACTTCGGTGTTTGGAAAAACGCGCAATTTATTTTTGTAAAAGGTTGGAATAGTGATCTCATAGCCATGGAATTTCCGGAACTTGTTCTGTTGTCGACATAAAAATTCTCACTTCCGTTCGTAGCGTTCGTTTTACATTTCTTACAGTACTAGGAAGGGAGAAATTTATTGATTCTGCATCTACAAAACACCTTTATAGCAACCGTGATTGAAATAAAACGAAAAGAGGAAAAGTAAGAGAAGCAGTCGTGCAAATGGATGTATATCTTATGTAATCAAAGTAGTCAATATAAACAACAGAATGATGACAGAATTACCAAAGAGTGTATCGAGTGTTTTCTCACTCTTTCACTTATTATCTATCTTGCATTGTGATATTTGCTTTTCAGCTCCTGTAATAAAATACAGAAAGACCCTCTGGGCGAATTAACGTTTCTTTTCTCTGTACAAACATTCTCTTCCCACGCCTCCAAGAAAGAAGTGGAAAGCCATTTCAAGTCTTTTGAAAGCCAACGGAAAGCAGTGAAATAAACACAGACTGTCAGTCATAAAGAAACAGACAATCGTATGTAGGTCATGGATAGGTCAACGATACCAGATATTCTTACATTTTCAATTAAAACTGGCCAGATGATAGCGTCCATGAAATACGAGCTTTGATAGTTTTCGAGGAGAAATTTAAGACTACGAAAAAACAAGAAAATTGAGCGTGAATTTTGATCTTCAATCAATTTGATCTTCAATTCATCATGCAGTTGTGTATTATGGGAAGATTATGGTGCAGACAGCCTGACTCCACAACTTCCGAGTGTTTTGCGCGGCCATGCGCATGCATACAGAAATTCAAAATAAGTTTAAAATACCACAAGATATTAAATGAAGTGGATTCTATAACTTTTAGGGGTTCGCTCGTAAAGATCTTGCTAGCTCGTTATCTAAAGTTTTATTAAAAACCTGCAGATGTAACGGTATATATCAGCTGATCGGCTTAATTCCCACAACTGCACGCTGGCCAAAGGGCATTTGCAATTCATGTATGACAACACATTCGCTGACAACCAGATCCTTCGTATCAACAAATTTCAGTTCTTAATAAATGTGCAACTTCCAAACAAAGATCGATGATTTTTCCGACGAGATCCAAGTATTATTTCTCTCCCATGTGATAGCCATCGTTCACCGTAGCCCTTTAAATTTGATCCGTGTCCATATTCACGCCTGGAGTCAAACACCAACCGCGAAAAGCTATTTTTATCATAAGTTTTCGCGGCAAGTGCCTGGAAGTAAACACGTCTGATAAAATCGAACTAAATTGTAATTCTACATACCGATGTTGAAAACGCTTTTAAAATTGTTGGCATAAATCTAACGTTTATTTTTAATATGTAACTGGTGTTTGCTTTCGAAACTGTTGCGTTTGTAGATGTTTGTTTCAATGTCTTTTAAAGAGCTTATCCAAACATTGACACAAAATAAAACAGGAACAATTAAGCTTCCTGACACAAATGTATTTTTCTCTAAACAAAATAAAAGCTTTTCTTTCCACTGCAAAATGCCTTAATCGATCGAGCGAGGCAATTCGAGCGTGTCAACAACAAGCAAATATTGTTTTATCGCTTCGAGAATGTCGCCGCTTTCTGTTTCGGATTTTCCGCGCGTTTCCGCGTATTGTGTTTTGACATTTGAATGATTGACAGAATAATAAAGCAGTTCACACCACAGGCCGCTTACCGAGCGAGACATTTGCTTGCTTCATTGGTGATAAAAACAAAAGACAATTTATTATCGTTCGTATAAATTTTAATATTACAGATCTAATGAGAAAGATCAATAAAGTGCTGTGTCCTTTGAAATTTCCGAACGCGATGAAAACAGAATGGAACCATGAGCAGAACCAATATCACTATAACAAGAACATAACACGCTCCACTGATTCGAGATGTTTCGTTTACTAGTCAAGTTTAATGCAAAGATTCGAAAGTGCGAGACCAAGGCCACAAAAACCACCAAATCTTCAATTTTGTTTTTGAAGGAAAACAACGATAAAATCGACACAGTTTATTTTAACTACCTGACATGTTTGTTTTTCGATCTAGACTTTGCTATTTATATTGCGGCGCGAAAAAAGTTGTAAACAACAAACCGTTCTAAAGTCACGCACTTTGAAAGAAATGAAATGGACCGTTGTTTAACGATCAGTTTCAAAAGAAGTCATGACGTTTAAGTGTTTTTTCACGCAGTATCCTGATTGCGTTTTTTTCGGTGTGTATGACTGCGTTTTCAGCACGCACGAAACAAAACAGCCGAGATCACAGCATCTACGCGGTATCTGACATCATAAACAAGATCCGATTTGTCACACTACTACAAACCCTGTGATTTCGTTACAAACGAGACAAGAATTAGGTGTAATTTTGTGCTAACACTAGTCAAAAGGCGACCGAACTTTATACAGTTGATATCTGACAATCGGACGTAGAATTTTCGGCGAGAAAATTCTCAGTAATTCTTCCGAGCTTTGTTTAGCTCGTTACAGCTGATTTTTATATCATTGCCCAAAATAGTGGCAACCTTATAAGGCTTTTCTTCGGCCATTGGAGCTCATTGGTCAGCTGGGCTCTGTTGTTTTGGCTAATTGCGTGTGTTGACAAAAAGACGATTTTGATTGGTACAATTGAATGCCATCTGCCAATCACATCGCAGATGGCGAATTGATAATTTTAAACTCGGCACTTGCAAAGCACCCTTGGGTCCCTTGCATTATTTTTCCGATTGAATTGAGCGTCGGCGAGTGTGTATGACAGAAGCAAGAGTGTTGTGTTATTCTGGCATTCCTTCATCTCACTCACCCGTGGCACCGCTTCACCCGACGCTCTGCTATCACTTTAACTCTACTCGCTCAAGACATGGACCTACAATCTGCTCTTCCTTGCTCTTCAATATTCCACGAACTTCAAACCGTTCACGACACTGGCTTTTTCTACTCGCTTCCCTCGCTCGAAGACGATTGGGCACAGGTATGTGTGTACGTGAGTTTTATAATGATTTTGTCCTTGTAACTCAGCGAACATAACATGTGGTCTTACAAAGCGACAGCGTTAGACGCGTTTGGGAAACTTGCAGCAGTCTACGCTAGATGCAAACTCGTTTGTGCTTTGTAAATCAGCCATGTTTACTTCATTTCGTATTCCTTGTGTGTTTCATTTTCGCGCTCGTTTAGCTCGACTGCATAGTATAGTGCGCTTTATTTTTTCTTCGCAGACAAGGCTTGAAATGGATCGTTATCTTTGTCCGGAGCCCTCTTCTTTGGAGAGCAAAGACTCAAACTTAGGAAATCCTGCTCCTTGGAACGAATTTTTACTTCAACCGTTTGACGAGTCAAATTTTCCATTTGGCGACGACTGGGATATCAAGCCGATAGATTTCAGTACAATAGCTACATTTCCCTCCGTGCCTACGGTCTTACCAGAAACTCCAACGGAAACAAAACCATCAATGGAGCTCCCTGTAAAACCTCTAAAGATCAAATTACCGATCCCGACGGGCTGCGAGGAGATTAACAAAATTCCTAAGCCAGTTTTACCGCTAACACCACCAAGTTCACCGGAGTCGCCTGTGCTAGTGTTTAGTAGCGCGAATCAGCAGCGAACAAGCAGGCCGGCTTCGCGTTCACCTCGCGCGAGAGGAGGAAATGGAGGCACAAGAGCGAATAGCCCCAAAGACAAAGACTCGGAGAGTAAACGCCGGGTGCATCGATGTCAGTTTAGCGGATGCCGAAAAGTGTACACGAAGAGCTCGCATCTTAAGGCTCATCAACGTACGCATACAGGCGAAAAGCCCTACCGTTGTTCTTGGGATGGATGCAACTGGCGATTCGCTCGCTCCGATGAACTTACTCGCCATTACAGAAAACATACAGGAGCGAAACCGTTCAAGTGTGTGCATTGCGATCGATGTTTTTCACGATCGGACCATCTAGCTTTACACATGAAAAGGCACGCATAGGGAAGGTAGCTAGAGAATTATACTAGGAAAAATGAATATTGCAATTTGGAATTCATTGCGCTCGGGCCTTCATTCAAACGAATTTGAATTTCCATCAATAATTTACGAGCAAAACCCCAGGTGTACGGTAAAGGTACCGCAAGTTGTGACACGATATTCACGGAAACATGTGATTTCTTTGCAATTCATTCGCAAAGGACCGATAGTTAACGAACTGGTCTAGATTTGACGACGAAGAAAGAAGTTCAGAACAGTAGCTTGTTCGGGCGCCAAAAGGAAGCTGAATTATTAGCATAAAAGCCTGTAGCGGAAATGACCCGTGAAAAGAAGGGACTCCAATGGGAATATTATTCAATACAGGGATAGACTTTGTATTAAAACTCCAAATGAATTTCAAACACGACTTCGTAGAAAGCATCGTAACGCAAAAGGAAAGCATACCGTAACCGAATGTACGTACGGTAAAAACATTGAATAAGCCTCGGGCTACATCGATGTAAACATATTTTAGTCATTCGTTCACGGTTTACTGTGCAGGCTTAATTCAAGTATAAAACATCAAAAGAAAAGAAAAACATAATAAGAACTTAAACGGACAAAGTCTATGATGTAAATATATAATTTTGGCATCTCTGTATCTCCGAGACAGAAGAAATTAGTGTACAGATATATTAAAATTGAAAAGAAACGATCTTGATTTTGTCAAGTGTGTTTTTAGATCGACTGGACGAGAGATTTCAATTTTATTGTTACAAGTCGAGCCAGATGTTTTTTCGTCTCAAATCATACTCGTACACATTGTTTATTGAAAGAAATGCACTTTCTCTTTTTCCTGACGGGTCAGATAAGTGCGAGATCTGTTGCAGTATAACCTTTGTTTTTGTGACATTTCTCTGTTTTTATATTGGCTTTACTTGCTTCGGCGGATCAGCAGGTTTAAATATGAAAAGTAATCTTTCTTTCGACTATATCAGACCGTGTTGTCTTACTGACAACGAATTTAATTTAGAGCTAGTACATTTTAATAATAGCACAGCATTAATTGCTGGCTTAAAGGGTTTCGCACTTTTTTGACAGCAAAAAGTGTTTATCAAATTTACATGCCTATTTACTTTCTCCGTGTATGAGCCTGCCTTCTCTCACGACCGGGCCAGAAATTGGTGTTGTGGTATCGTGAAAAGCTTTCTGAAAGCGGTTCGATTTATTTATCAATATTCTTGAAACCTCAACAGTAACTTTCACTCAGTTTTGCACTGAAGTTTAAGCAAGCAGTCTCATGTCAAAATCGGTATATGATATCACTTACGGAAATTCAATCCTACAATTTTTGGCGATGACAATTTTCTTTTTGGAACAAACAGACCACGATTTTTGCTCGCGGCGTCCTTTCTGTCCAGCGATGAGACAAAGTAACTAATTTAAAATGTGAGCAGCTGGAGATAAATCATTAAACTTTAAAGAATAGAGTAATGCCTTTTTGCGAATCTTATTCGCAAGTACGTGAGGCTAGGTGTATTTTTAACGACAATAACTTGGAAAGCAGACAGGTTTTTATTTTTAGTTTATCACTGGACGCGACGGTTGCCAGAACAAATGTCTTCGTTACTCGAGCGAAAACGTTTTGCGTATTACTTCAGCAAGTAACCGGGGTTAATTTTTCGCCATTTATTTGGGTTTCAAGTTGTCGAGATCTTTTTAAATGGCTGCCTACATAAATGCTAATGAATTGCTTGATTAGATTTCTCCAGAGCTTTCTAGAAATTTGACATTGCCTTCTACTTGTCAAAAACCTTTTTCGCCTTTCTGTGCAATTAGGAAACGACATCGTATTGAAATGCTAAAAATACGTTCCTCTCTCTGACAGTGTGTTCATTGTAAATGTTAAAAATTTCCCTGAAATTGCTTCCAAACAAAGAGTGTTTTTTTAGGGGGCAATGAGTAGAAGGTATATTTTTATATGATAAAAATGTTTGTTTTATTTTTCCAAAGATGATCATGCTAGCCATGAGTATCACAGCAACATTATTTTGCTGAACATCATATTCTTGCATGCGATATTTCATATACGCTTCGAACAATAGCCTTTTTTTTTTGCGAAATTGGCAGCGTGAAATCGATAGAAATTCTGTTTTATTGAGGTATCAACACATTTAATGAATTCACTGTCTAGCCTACTCTTTAATTCGTGGGGTAAATTAATTGCAAGATGAAAGTGCTTGTCCCAGGAGGTCAGTCTTTATCCCACACTAATAAGACAGCCCAAGATTGTTCGCTAATTGACAACGCATCGGCTAGAAGAAAAGGCTTCTCTGGGAAAGATTTTCAGGGGAGTGTTATGGATATGCAAGATTCAAGATAGCAAATGTAACTAGACAATTTGGAACCCAGTTGGAAGCTGACTCAAAAGACCCCCTTAATGTGTCAAGAAGCGTTATTTCCTGCCACTAGATAGTCACTTAAAGTTTGGAATCTTTGGTCAGATATAAACATTTCCCACGACCTTTTAAATGCTGTTATGCTAGAGTGATTTCTTTTGTTTCTAATGATCTGACGGAATTATTTTAAAGGATTTGGCGTCCCTCTAAGCTTGCAATAGGTCCATTTATTGCCAAATATACTCGGTAGTGGTTCAATTTCTCTGGGCAATGCTAGCTACAGAATAGGTATTTCAGCCAATAGAGTAGGCCCACCAAGACTTTTATGAATGATTGCACTTTAAAAGGAACTGATCTAATGAACAATGAGCAAAGTTAATTAAACCAGGGCTGGAACCCTTGATAAATGATAATTCAGACATTGTTTTGTTAAGGGTTTACATATGCCCACACAAGATCTTAACCCAAAGATACTATAGAACTTGTGATCAGTGTGGGTTTACACAGCCAACAAAACTTCTGCAGCTGTAATGTAAACGGACAAAAAAATATATGTTGGTCGATTCCTGTTAATAAATTGCAAACATCCACAACACAAGCTTTTAAGAAGTTGATAAGAGTGAGCAGACATGTTTACATTTCATTTGAAGCATCCCTGTAAAAATAACTTTGATGAGCCAGAATTTGGAATCAATTAAAATGATCAATCGAAGAACACGATCAATTTAACTGGTTATGGTTAGATTCCCTTCAAATTCATGCTTTCAGGAACGATTTCTAATCGTTATGAAACTGATTTTCTTTGGTCACCATATCAGTGATTTAACATCACCAGATTGTTTTGAGGCATATTAAGGTCATTGAATCCATTTGATTGGACACCTTCAAGAAACTTGTTTAATATTTACATCCCCTATGAACTGCAAGATAACTCTTGTTTAATTAGAGCAGGGTTCATCAATACAGTATTGGCAAACTTTAATTTCCTGCCCGTCCTTAATTATACATCTCAGATTGAATAAATGTCTGACAGAAGTGATAATTAAGGCAGACTCTGATTGAAAACCCCTTGATTAGAAACTGTGTCAAAACCAGTTTTATGTTTGTTTAATATTAAATTATCTATGACTGAGTTATCTACATGCATGAAATTACATTTTACACTGGAGAACACATAAGAGATTTTTTCTTTAATTGAAAATAAAGCTGAAAAGCTGTACATGGGAGCTCATGCTCTGCAAAAAATAATTTGTATCATTTTAGATCATAATATTTTGAACTAAACTTAAACCCTTGGGGATACAAAAATGCAAATCTTGATTAACTTTTTTAATGTAAAATGGCTTCTAAAAATTCTTTGGCAAATTAAAGCTTATAGCAACACACTTGAGGAGATTAAAAACATCCATAAACATCCCTTAATTAAAAAAATAAAATAAAGCTGGGTTATTAAAATTTTGGTTTTTGCTGTTTATAACTGTACCTGTTTGGTTCTCAAGAAATTAGGAGCAAATTGGATGACTGCTCATTTTCTCACCTAATGATAATTTACACAGCAGCAAACTCCCTTCCTCCCCCCCCCACTCCCAGGGGGGGGGTGCAAGGGGGGTTCATGTTGGAGTGAAAGGGATGGTCATAGAAATTTTAAAAGGGACCCCTTAATTGAGCTGGAATCTAATGTGTTGTAAGAATGATATGACTTAGTCATTGAGTTTGTCCTGATTCAAAAGGAATTTGAGTTTGAAGGGTTTGACAAATGCAGGGATTAAAAAAAGATCCTGAAATTCCAAGTGGTTGCTAGTCAACTTTGGGGGTTCCAGGAACTGATCATGTTTCATGAGGAGCATTGAGCTAAGGAATCCTTTGAGGTGGCTGAATTTAGCACCTCAGGTCATAGAAGCCCTTCTACCTTTGGCCTTCCCCTAAGGTCGACCCTATTCAAAACATGGAAAATGAATCAGAGCATAGTTCAAGAAAACATTTTGTTATTTTGTGTTATTCTTATCGGAATAATAGTATCAAAGACAAATATTTTAAATATACCTTTGGGCTAAAATATTTTCTTTCTATCAGAGGTGAGAGCTGGGCTGTAATATTTAATTTATTTTTTTTAATCTTAAGTATATATTTTTCAAAGTAAATATCCTTTGTCATGAGGTTCTCCATTCTGCATTCGAAGACAAGGCCAGGGACAAGCAAAATTCAACTTTAAGCATGCAGTCAAGATCAGATGCTAACATTCCAGCCATTCAATTTTGTTTAGCACTGTATGCTACGCTGGACACATCAGAAAGCAAATCATGGAATTTCCCGGTCCTTTTTGTAATACTAGGTGTATATTACTTATGGTATAACAAATCTTTTACTTTCTAAATTCAAGGTAGAAAGGTTGGTGGTCATTTCGAGTTAAGCATTTAAAATTAAATCAACTCTTTCACTGAAATATCTGATGGAATAATAAATCAGTGCTATTTTAGTTTCCTATAAGTATGCAAGTAAACACTGAAGAAAACATTTCATTATTTTCTAATTATTTTGAATAAGCTAATCAAGTATCCAGCGGCTGAAATGTCTTTTAAACAGCATACCCCACATTACTGTGGTTTCACAACAACACCAAAAAGTGAAACGTTATTAAGACAAATGCCAAAATCAAGGCTCCAATTTCAATGTTTGCTGTTGTGAGGTCAAGGCACGTACAATTTGAACTTCAAAATTTGAGAAGCAGAAACAACAATATTTCAGAAAGATAAGGTTTATATCTGCAGAGTTTATCTCATTTTTGAAAAGATAACAAATTCATCAAAATGTCTGTAAACTATGTTATCAGTGTCTGCTCTAGATAACCAGCTGATGTAATGAAATCTCTCATTCTATAGGTGTTGAAAATGTTTTTGTTTGACGAGAACTGCTTTAGAAGCTTTAGAAAATATTTACCAACATATCTATTTCATGTCAAATTTGTCCATAGTTATCAAATAGTGTCAAAATGACATGTTTGTAACTTAATTATTTTTCATTTAAGATCTTTCCCAGACACCAAGATGCCATCTTTTAGCTCAGTCAATGACTGGTTCAACTGATATCAAGCTAAGAATATTTTTAAATTAAAGTGGTATCTCAGTGCAGTTTATTGCTTTGACAGTCCAGTGAACTGCAAAAATGAGTACATGATGGAATGCAGGTTGAATGAAAGATCAAGTTACAAAACAATAAAATCCCCAGAAAAGACCTTAATGTGTTTATATCACTTTCTTTATAATCTGCTAAATGATTGTCTGATTATTTTTCACCTTCTTTAATAAGCCTGGCGCATTGTAAC